AGAGAGAGAGAGAGAGAGAGAGGGGGGGAGAGAAACTTATTCATAAATTCTAAAAAAATTTCTTCAGAGTTAGTTAAAAGTAAAAGAAATTTAAATATTTTTCTTTTACTTCTTTACTTCTTACTTTTAATTCTTACTTTACTTCTTACTTTTACTTTCTATTACTAAAAAGTAATATTTAAATATAAATAAAATTATTTAATAAAAAAAAAGACTAGAAAAATATGGCAAAGAAAAAAACCGAAAAAAACCTATTTTTTTCCCAAATTTTCCGAGAATTTATTTGGACTAAGAACACTACTCATAATCAAAGTAAGAAATTAATAAGTTATTTTTTAAATTACTTTATATGTGTTTGTGTTAGAAATTGAGTACAAAAAGTATAAAATTGGAGCAAATAAAATATAACCAGTAAAGAGCAACCTCTCAGAACCTACCTCAGAAAGGTTTCTCTCTGATATAACATAAAAAACAAAATTCCCGAACTTACTATTTTTATAATAAAGAGATAACTACTTATGAAACCCAATTTCACAATTCACGGTTAATAATTCTTAATCGAGATTCAACTTATATTTCTCATCTCTTTTTCATTGTCAGAAGTATTTTTTTCCCCCCCCCCCCCTGCTCATGATCAATGAATGGAAGAAACACATTATTTCCCCAACAGCACAAAACTTGCATCAAAATTGATGCGATATTGCTGCAACATGTAATAATTGCTGTAATATTACTGCAACTTTTGTGCTGTTGGGGTTGTATAAACTGTTAAAAGTTACTTTTTTAGTAATGGCTGTGATTAGCAGAATACAACAGCTTTGCAACCGTTTTATGATCATCTGCTAAGATTATTCCTTTAGATCTAAAGGTGCCTTTCCATGCAGACGCTCGACGTTCATTTTCAGCGTCAAAATAAGTCACGTGATCAAAATTGGTGCTTGATATTCGTCAATTTCTATCACGTGATTTATTTTGACGCCGAAAACGAGCGTCGGCATGAAAAGGCACCTTACCCAGACAGCACAATATATTTATAAAATATTTATAAATATTTATAAGATTTATTTTAAATATTTTGTAAATATTTTTGTAGGCTTGGATTGCACAAATTATAAACATTTATTATAAATATTATGAAATATTTATTGTAAATGTTATAATAAATGATATGAAAATACTTAATGAAATATTATAATCCAAGTAAAAAATACCTATTAGAAATATTTATTTATATTTACCATAAGTATTACATGAAATATTTAGTCTATATTTTAATATTTCAAATAAAGCTTTATATAAAATATGTGTGTAATATTTATGCAACATTAAAAAAATTGAATATTAATAAATATTTATCATAAATATTCTATGCTGTTTGGGTTATAAGTATGTATCTAATCAGATTAGATATACTTTTATCTAATCTAATAATAATAAAACTTTCAACAGTTGCAAAATAAACGTTCTGCTGAACGCAGCCAATGTATATTTGTTTCACTTCAATTTACTTCACCGTGCGCACCAGTTGGCAGTTCAGAGAGTGCAGGAATAAAAGAAAAAGGACCAGTTTCACCAACGCCAGTTAGCTTAATCGGCCGTTGACTGACCAATCGCGTTTGCCGTTTAGTAGAATCGAGCAATTGCGATTGACAGTTAATCACGATTAAGCTTGATCGCGGCATTGGTGAAATCGGCTCAAACCTTTTTTAAAACGCAGAACATTTTGCTGTCTCAGCGCCCTCGCAGGAAATGAGCGAACGCCCTTCTAGTGACTTTAACGAAGCTGGCATGTGGCGCCCTCTCTCGAGGACAACGGCAAGTATCTCGGAAAAGTCGGAAAGGTCGCTCGCAAGATGGCGTTACACGTACATACGGCACACGTAGCCGCGAGAGGGACGGCGCGTCGCTCGCGATCGCGAGTCCCGTCGGCAGTGAAAAATGGCCGGAGCCAGCGACTGGTTTAGCATCGGCAGCACGGTGCTCTGTAAAACCTGCCATGAGAAGGAGATAGAGGGTGAGGTGTTGGCGTTCGATCCACAGACCAAAATGCTGATACTAAGTATCCTTTTTACGCGAAAACGGCACCGGCCAACCACGGCAACAGTGACAACGACGACGGTGGTCGCCCGCGTGCGTTTCCGCCGCGCGGGGACGCAGTGTAAATAGCGTCGCGTCGCTACGACGGCGATATTTCCGCCGCGTATTAACGCCAACTTTCCTCGTGACGCCCCGTACCGCGAGTTCGACGACGTTCGTCGTCCAGGTCGTACGACTCGTCCGGGACACGTACGTGGCAACTCGGTCGCGCGATTCAGGTTAGTTTCATCTTATCACCGTCAACCATGCTGGTCTATCTTGCGTGCCTGTTCAACCCGTCCGTCTTCTTCGTGCATGTATGTTTTGTTGTCGTCCGTGTTGACCGTGTTTCACGTTTCTTCGTCGACGTGCTGCCCGCGAATCGCGCAATGTCCTGTGTGTTTGACCGATCTCGTGAGCACGTGACCGTACGCTTGTCGTCCACAGTCGATCTCGCTCGCTGAGACATTTGTTATCTTTGTATGGTTTTTGATCAACTATGTCAGTGACATGTATATATATATATAACGTTAATCACTGTTGAGTAATTAAGTCATTGAATATCTTAATGTATATCGGAGCAACTTTCTATTGATAAACAGAAAATT